TGTCCTTGCCCACAATCAAACCACACCCAAAAAAGCCTATGAAAAGGTACCAGGGGCATCTCATGGGGCCCCCTACTGACCCAGTGCCCGAGTTCCCAAATGGTCAGTCCGCCCCTGATACATACACTTCAAGGCAAAGCTCCAGTCAAAAATCAGATAAAAATGAATAGTGCTTTCAAAGATAAAATAAGAAAAACAGTGTTTGCTGAAATACTCAATTTCAAGAAATTTCCCCCACAGTACTTTTTTCTGCCCCATGATGTCCTCAGTCTTTTGGCCAGCATCATTCAACTGGCTTCCTCTGAGCCCAAGGTATTCTGGACCTGCCCCTGGTTGGTGAAAGGACAGCAAAAGGGGAAGCAGCACAGATATCTCTCAGTCCCTCGGCTCTCTCCTCCTATCAGCATGCTTCTAGAGAGCACATGAACTGATTGGTGCTTTGTCCTGCTTCTGCCTGTCATATTGCAGCTCTGCTGTATAGGGACTGCAAGAGGCTGATATCAGATCAAATGCAGGGACACATACCTCCCAACTTTTTAAGATGAGAACGACTGACACCTATTAGCAAATGTATGTAGGCTTAGGCAGGGCCGTGGATAAGGGGGTACCACCAGTCCTGTAAGAGGTCCAGGCCAGCAGGGGGGCCCAGCAGCTGGGTGAATCGGATATGGGCAGGGAGGGCAATCAGCATGGCAGGGGACAATTACTGGAACCAATCCCCTGTATGGACCTCTCTGCAGCAGCTGAAAGCTGGTTTCTTCTCCTCTCCCTCCTGCTGGCTCTCAGCTGCTGCAGAGAGAGCCATACAGGGGATCGATTCCAGTAATTGCACCCCCCACACTGCACCCATCACCCTCCCTGTGCACCATACGTTTCCCCCCGCTGCCCAGGCCCCCCTGTGTGCCCCCACTCTCACAGTGCTGCCGCTTCCCTCCTCTTCTTTCCACTGGTAGCTGCAAGCACACAATAGGATCCTTCAGGATGGAGACCAGGGAAGGATCTGGTAAACATGTCATTTACCAGCTCCTTTCTTTCCTGAGTCAACACGACTGATCTATATCGCTCACTCACTGTGTTCATAACTGAAGCATAGTAAACTTTTTTTTTTTGGAGGGGGACCCTGTCAGGTTGGTTGTGTGGGGCCCCGTGGTTTCTAACAGCAGCCCTGGGCATAGCGCACACCCCCTGCCATGCCCCTTAAAGGAGAATTATAAAAAAAAAAAAAAAAGGATTTAGTTAAACCCACAACCCTTTTTTTTTACAACTACTATTCCTTTATACTGGCTTTTGAAGTTTTCAAATGCAATTATTTAGAAACTGGATGAAAGGTTTATAACTGTGAAACACTTTTTGAAAGATAAATAGTGCATTTTATATACAACTATATGGATCAGACTGAAATGGGGGACAAATGAGGAGGAAGGAGGGACAGAGGGACTTTGTTCCAATTCAGGGTCACAGTCCTTTGAAATCCGGGATGGTTGGGAGGTATGCAGGTACATACTGTACATTGCAATGATATATTACTGATTAGAAAACTGCATTTTTTAATGTCTTTGTGGCCTCCTAGAGTTCTGATTTAAAGCGGTGAAACCAAAATTTCCTATTCAAATGTTATTCCAATTTTCCAAAACCTTATCCTATCTGATTTTTGTGTTTATTTGTGCTGATGATGCCTTCCAGCACAGTCTCTCCTGTGTTCTCAGCATCTTTGCCTTGCAGGCATCCACAGAGTGCCTTATGGGGATGATGTCAGGACCTCACTTTGGCATCTGGTTCTAGCAATGGTCTATTTATTTTCTGCCTGTCAGTTTAGGTGGACGCACTACCGATGTCTTGGTAGGTTTGCAGTTGTGCCATACTCTTTTCATTTTCGGATGATGGATTGAACAGTGCTCCATAAGATAGTCGAAGCTTGGGATATAATTGTATAACCTAACCCTGTTTTAAAACATCCCCACAACTTTATCCCTGACCTATCTGGTGTGTTCCTTGGCCTTCATGATGCGGTTTGTTCACTAATGTTCTCTAACAAACCTCTGAGGGCTTCACAGAACAGCTGTATTTATACTGAGATTGAATTACACACAGGTGGACTCGATTTTCTAATTAGGTAACTTCTGAAAGCAATTGGTTCCACTAGATTTTAGTTAGGGGTATCAGAGTAAAGGGGGATGAATGCAAATGCATGCCACACTTTTCAGATATTTATTTGTAAAAAATATTTGAAAACCATTTATAATTTTCCTTCCACTTCACAATTATGTGTCACATTGTGTTGGTCTATCACATAAAATCCCAATAAAATACAGTTACGTTTTTGGTTGTAACATGACGAAATGTGGAAAATGTCAAGGGGTATAAAGACTTTTTCAAGGCACTGTATATCTTACAGAATATTTACAATAGTAATAAAACCAGGCGCTAAAAGAAGTACACAGTGAATGAAAAAAGGTGCCTCCATAAGGTCACCACATTACCAGCAAGCATGAAGTGCATA